GTAAATATATATTCACAAAAATTTAAAACTGCGGTGGTGTTTATGTTGGACAAGTAAAGGCCTTTGATATAGTAATTGGAAATTTTTGGTACAACTTCTGACCAAATTTCCTTTTTTTTTTTTTAAGTAACTGGATTAAAATGTGGTATTTATCTTTCAACCAGGTATTAAAAGAAATTATTTCTACATCATGTGGAACTTTTCAAGAATATTCTTTTATATTTTGTTTGATATTGGAATCAATGGCCTATCTTATCAAGCAATCAAAGGACATTCTGGACATAAAAGTCATTATAAAAGTTATGTATTATTGATAACTATGCCAAAATTTACTGCTATAGTATAAGAGTTTGGTAAATTATTAGGTTACTTAATTAGCTGATGCAGGTATCATACATTTTCTATAGGCACTAATGTATCTATGGAAATTTGTAAAAATTGGGCTTTTACTTGGTGTTTGAATTCTTTTAAATATCTTAGTGCAATTCTCCCAAAAACGTCTTTATTTGTCAGTGTAAACATATCATTTTTTATTCTCAAATCTATAGTTTTATAGTTAAATATCTTTATTTAACATATAGTTATATAATTAAAATATATACTTAAAATACATATAGGTAAAAATCCCAATAAGTTTATGCAGAAAGATAAAATTTATAAAAATATTACTTCAAAGGCGGTATATGTACTTAGAGGTCTTCCCATGTTAGTACCGTTATTTTAAACAGATTGACAAATGAATAAGAAAGTTCATATGAGAAAGACAAACCCCTTAATTTTTTAATCCAAATTTTGGCAATCATGTGACAGAGAGTTTAACTTTCCTAGTGTTCAGCTTTATCACTGGACATATGTTTTGAGTTTTATTTTTTTATGGAATCCTAGTGACCAAGGCCAAAAACCACCATGGACACAATCAGAGAGGTGTTATGTGACACCTCTATTATCTTGACAGGTACTTACTGAATATCACAAGGCATATCTGGAAGATGTTGGGACAGAAATATTGGAGTCAGAATACTGTATATGACAGAGCCCATGGGATGGCTATGATAGTTTTTATCATAGTTGCCAATTTGTATTTATTGTGATTTTTTTTAAACTGTCATTTGCAGCCCAGAGCACCAAGGTTGAGATGGGAGGCTATATAAATTGAAACAAATAAAATAAATGAGTTGACCCTTGTTTACTTAATAAATTACATTTATTTATTTATTATTTATTTATTTATTTAACAAACTTATATAGCCACTCATCTATCAGTGGAACTCTGGGCGGTAAGTATAAATAAAAACATGATCCAAATTAAAAATCAATTAAAGAAAAAAAGACCCTAAATTGAGGCTCCTGAAAAATCTAATTACTGACATTACTGACACACCTACATCCATACAGAACTCCATTAACATCCTGGCCCCAGTGCCTGGGGGAAAAGTGAGGTATTTGCAACTTTCCTGAAGGCCAAAATTATACTCCTCATTAGAAAACTGCAGGTAATTATTTTCGTTCAGAATTCATGAAATAATAGAGATGTTAACAATTTATATCAATTGCTAATCAAGTTTTTAAATCACATGAGTTGCTGCAAGAGGAATTTGGATTGTCTAAAATTACAGTGTAGCAGCATATTCAATTAAGACATCTTTTAATTTCACAATTCAGTCCAGTTATATGTTCTAGATCATTTCAAATCTACTTTTTTCTTTTAAACAAGTTTTTTGCAAAAGGTTTGAAATAAAGACTTAGAATACCCCATATTATATCAATGGTTAAGGTTGTAAAGAATATTATGCTTTCTAGGACTTTAAAATAAGATTAATTCACCAAAAGATTTTGTTCATGTTTATTGGATATTGTGAAGAATGAGTTAAAATGACTGGCTGCCAACTAACTACATTAAGCTGGAAATGTAAAATAATGCAGGGAAATTAATGCATAGGATATGGGTTTGTCCCACTATCCTCCTGTTTTGGTTTGATATCCATGTGTTTGTTAATATGGTCTTTGGAAAAACAATATGATTTAAGATGTGAAATTGAATTATATACCTGAAATTTGGAGTTTATCACTATATGAAAAATTATGGATTTACCAAGCATGGGATGTAGCAAAAAAAATGTATTTTTTTTTAATGATAGAAAGACAATGTCACTCTGGGTTTACAATCTTGGGCTGATTACAGTATACGTGTTTATCCTCTAGTTCTAAACTGGCTCTTTATCAATATAATATTATTGTAATATATTGATATAATATTGTTATATATAATGTTACGTAGTATTCCATGCAATCAAGGTTTAATGGTATTTCTAAAAAAAAATCTACTTTGTTTTGGGATTTTTTGTGCCTTCGAGTCATTGTTGACTCCTGGCGATTGCCTGGAAGAGTTCCTGCAGTTTTCTTGGCAAGATATCAGAAGTGGTTTGTCATTTCCTCCTTCCTAGGGCTGAGAGAGAGTGACTGGCCCAAGATCACCCAGCTGGCTTTGTGCCTAAGGTG